GCCAGAAAGAGAAGATAAAAAAGAAATGAGGCACAGTCGTGTGTAAGGACATGCACAAACGAATGTGTAACTGTGCTTGAAATCAAATCTAGATTTGATTTTTGCATGCCAAGTGTGTGGCACTAACAACAAGCATGCCCTTCCCCTTGTAAAGACTGACGTTCCTGTTTAAATGTATTTAGCTTGGAGTAACCCATGTATCTCCGCTCTTTGTTAAAATCAGAGTTTCACTCTTTGGGATCATTTGACATGCATCAAACTGTGTTCCCCATGGTTAAATTACTTCCTACTGGCTTAGTGCTAGCTTGGGATTTCTGTATCGAGGGGATGTAAGTATACCCTAAACAGTTACTGGACCAGAGTTACCAAAACCCTGTTTTTGTTGTTCTGTATATTGTTTTCTGACCACATCCAGTCAGGTTGTTTTCCTGGCATATAGATACAGCAGATAAAAACTGGACTAGTTATTAAAAAAAAAAAATCATGTGTGAATGACAATCTGGATGTTTTTCTAGCCCATTTTTTAAGCACACATTGTCGGAATCAAAACCACATAAGCAAATATTTTTTCTTTCTCATTAGCAAGCATGTTTCAGAAGCATAGGAAATCTTCGATAGACACTGAGCTATTAAGTGCCACACAATTCTAGTAAAAATTTACAGGAAAGATTTCAGAGAAAGTTAAATTGGATTATTAGGTGATGTGGGTTGAATTTCCCTCTGTGGAAGTGTTACTGCTGCTTTCCCAGAAAACCACAAGGATCCAGGCAGCTATTTAGTGGGTCTTTTATCCTGAGCAATGGGTTGCAGGAAAGATCTTGGCATTCCAAGTTCAGCTGGTACAGTGATGAGAATGATCTGGAAATTGTTGAGACATCTGTCTGAATTGTTAAAGCTCAAAGAGGGAAGCTAAAAAAATAAATCTGTCCCATGGCAACTCCTGACTCAGAGTTGTGGTAGAACGGGAAAAGCCATCTGACTCACTGAGTCAAATGACAAAACACTTGTGAAGGCTGAAGCTATTAAGGCAGTTTCTACTAAATGCATGCTGTTTTGACAATGCCAACAATTAGTTTCCTCATTTTATTGCTGCAGTACATTATCGTGGTGTATTTTCTTTAATTTGAACTTTAAAAATAATTAAATAAAGTTTATTTTTGCAAGCTCGGTGGGGAACTGGGACATTTGGTAATTGATGCGTGCCACATTCTAGAGCAGTAGATGTCCACTGCCTGCTTCCTTTTTGTTGGTACCACATATCTGTTGATTAATAGTTTTGGAAAAAAATCTTGTATCCATAATTTCTAAAAGGTTCATGAAATGTTTACCAGGTGACTCCTGGCTGCCACCATATGGGATCAGGATGAAGCACCGACAACAAAGCATGCTTTCTATTACTGCTTCCCTTTTCCATCAGCTGGTATGGGGTGGGTCTTTTGAACCACACACTGCTGCCAGCTGAAAGGATTATGAGATTCAAAATAGTTTTCCACTACTGTCAAGTCCAAATGGCTCCTTTGCTCTGATGCTAATATTGTTAATTGTCTGCAGAGACACAAACATGGCAATGTTTGACCATGCCTCAGGGTTTGGTCCCATATTTTCTTTAGATATGTCTTGAGTGTAGGTGCTTTGCTGTGGCTTCTGCCTTCTCTCTGGCTGGGTTTCCCTGCCACCTCTTCGTGATACCAGCAAGGTTTGTGCAAAAGCACAAACTGATTAAAAGAAGAGGTCTGCCTGAAAATTAACATTTTTAGCCAGATGAGTTCTCTGACTCCCACCAGAAGGCACAATCCTGATGACTCCTTGTCTGAGGGCTTCTTTTCAGTCTGTTCAGCAAGCTGTTTTAGCTTGCACCTAGACCTGACACATGGGAAGCACTGGAAACACTTAGCTGGGAATAGTAGGGGGAAGACTGCCAGCAGTGAAGTCTTAAATTGCCTTAAGCCCATCATAAAATCACACTCTCAGTTAACTAGAGTACATTGTGTGAGGTATGGAGCTCATTGTTGGACCAAATTTGTCAGCTGCTCAAGTGTACAGCATTTCTTGGCTTTTTTAAGGCAATGTTCTTTCTGCCCTTTTATAAAAAACCTATTTTTGAGAATCTCTGCTTTACACAGGAGTCAGATTTTAAGAAAATACAGTGCTCCCAATCAAAGGACTTTGAACAGTATAGTGTTGGACACAGATTGAATGCTGACATGCGTTGTACAGCTTTTGATTTACTGGTGATTGCTGATGGGAATTTTACTGAATTACCACACATTGCAACTCTGTACAGAATCTGATATTAATCTGAAAGATTGGTGTCTGGATTCTTGCCAAGTACAACGATCCATGTCTTTCTTTAGGAAAATTTTATACTTGGGAAGGACGTGCATCTTTGCAAAGCTTAACTCTTCTAAAGTGGAAATCTGCAGCCATTTGGAATACTGCTCTCTCTCTGTTTCAATTTCAGGCCCTCTTCCCTTCCCTACCCCCCGCTAAAAAGTGAGGCGACTTTTTTTTTAATTCTACATACAATACAAAATAGCAAGAAAACAAATTAATGTACTAGTTGAGCAGTAATTATTAATACACCTTCCCTGTATTTCTCCACTGGACTGAATTTAGCAGCAATGTAGGCTGTTACAGAAAATCACTCGTTTTACCCTGATGGCCCAGGCTCATTCATGCCAGTAGCATCACCAAATTCACTGGGGCAAATCCTGCAAGGAGCAGCTCACCATTGTGCTTCAGTTCCCCACTGAGGGGTTTCTGATTACTGTGTCTTCTTGTGTGTTTCTGAAAGACACAGAATGACAATTGCCAGCTGTTTTCCACAAATCAGGAATACTTTTCAGGGTATACAAAAAAATTTGACTTACTGTTTCTCTTATGGGCATTGGGTCTCCTGTGAGAATTAATCTTTGTGTGATGAAGCCATTTGAGCCCCTAGATGGGCAAATAGAGGCAGGCTGTGGCTTTTGAGTGAAGACAGCTAAGACAGTGAAGAGAGTTTGAAGATGCCAAATCATGTGAATCTGTTTTGTGGCATGGACACGTCCAGACTGAGACACCAAGACAGCACTCCAATTGTGGTGAACTGTGTGGGAGGGAAGAGGGGAAATTACAACAGTTGACATCCAGGATAGTATCCCTGAAGGTATATGAGTACACCAACATTTTGGGGTTCTTGTTTCTCAGCAAGTTAGTAGCTAAGTCTGTGGTTGAGAGGAGTACTGAAGTAAGACTTCAGTGCTCTGCAGAGGATAAGTAGATGATAAGGATTTTTTTTTTAATTTTGATTATTTATAACACTGCTGTTGCCAATGTAACATATGGTGTCAGCAGCTGAGGGAGGAGAACACCAGGTTGCAAGAGCACCATGCAGCAAGAGTAAAGAGCTCATGGAGAAGACCACAGCATTGGCGGAAAAATCCTTATCTTGAGGGGTGTTTGTGAGGAATTGCCAAGCAGTTTTCTTGCTTGTAACCATGGTGTGAAAGCACCCACTGTGGGTTCCTGCAGTTTGTCTGGATGAAGATCCCATACACCTTCTTCTCCTAGTGGGGGGTCTTTTTTTGCTGGGTGCTTAATATAGAGTAAAGCACAGCCTCTGCTTTGGCGTGCCTACAGGCTCCATAAAGCCTAGGTAGAACACACAGACACAGCAAGGAGAAGGCTGTAGTGTCAGGGCCATGGGATTACACAGCCAGAAACACAATGTGGCACTCCCGTCCCTTTCTTTTTATCCTGTTTTTGAAGGGAAACATGATGTGAATGTGTGCCATCTTTCTTCACACTAACTTCCCACATGTTTCATTGGAACTGGATGAAAGGCAGTGGCACAAACTTTTGTCTCCATGGAGAAAAAAGGCTGTAATGTGAGTTCAAGTTCTTCTCCTAACCTACAGTTGGACAGTCAGCCCACAGGCAAAACACACGTACCTTTATACCAAGTGTGAACTGCTTCTTGTCTGCCAGATAGTTAGGGGATAAAAGTGAGAAAGTTGCAGTACTGTGAATGAGGAGATGAGGGAAATAGGGACTGAGAGTATATCTGTGACCTAAGGAGTCCCTGACTCTTCGCCTTGCTATGAGCAGTGAATAGTTGGACTACAGGAGTCAAAGAAGTTGGTTTTGGAGGATGTAATGGAAGACGTGACAATCACATAGTTCAAGATCATTTCATCCATAACACTCATCACAAAAACATGTCTCATTTGTTGACAAAGTGGTACAGCAAGATAAGATACTAGAACAAGAGTGATTTTCAAGGTAAGCATGTAGGCCGGCAAACTTTCCCTCCAATTTTTGTTGCATAGCTGAGGTGCCCAAGATGGAAATGGAGTTACTTGGTTCCCACTACACTTGTGGACAGTGGTGAGTGATGGGCCTTATCTGAGGTTTGATTCTGTCTCTCACCATGGACTACAAAAGGAGCCCAGGACAGCCAGCCTCCTGCTGGAGGGAGATCTGTCAGGTACCTAACCTTCCATGGGATGACTCTGGACCACAATGATTGTGTTTGCTGTGAAGAAGGTGAGGTTTATATGGTTCTGAAGGCAAGCCGAGATGGCATCCTTGGCACCATAGACCATATGACTGCAAACAGGAGAGCAAGTGTCAGGGTGCAGTTGCATGATCAGCTTAAGATGCGTAGCTACACAAGTACCTAGGCCAACATAAGGGAGGGGGCAGGAGTGCACAGAGAGGTGAAGGATGTGAGATGGAGTGAGATGGCCCCTTTCAACAGCAGCTTGAGTTGATCATGAAAGGTTACCCTTAGGCAGGGCAGGGGAATGTAACTGGTGGGGGAGGGATGAGAATTCACTTGGAGCTGTAGCACAGTGGGGAGTTTCAGCAATTCCTGCACCATCTAACAGCAAAGGTACCACATGGTGAGATCTGCCATTGCCTTTGCTTGATCATTCAGGACCTCTGTGTGCCTTAAGTATCACTTTTTAATAAGATTCATTCCTGCAGGGTTGGCTGCATGCTGTACACCAAGGGCAATGACACCTCGTAAGACTCTTCATACTAATGTACCAGAGAAAGCTTTTTATCTCCATCAGGCAGGTAATGGGCTTAATTTTCCAGCTTTATTTTTGCTCAATACCTTTTTTTTTATTCGTTCTACAGCAACTGGATAACAGCACAGAGAGCCTATATCGTGTGCCTATCTGGAGGAGCAGATTGACCATTTTGCCATGCTTGTCAGTATGCTGGTCTGCTGTGCATTGTCTATACTACCTTAGTAGGGATGGAGGAGTGAACATCCTGGCACTATTATCTCCATTAGAGAACATTCAGCTGCAGCTCTGCAGGAAAATGCTGCTCTGATGAGAGCATGAAAGAGGTTTCTCCTCTTGTCGCTGTGCTGTGCAGAATATGCCCTTTCTTATTGCTTCTGAACATCCTTCATGAGTTTGAGGTGGTGTGCAAAAGCAGGGCATGCTGAGAAGCACATTATCCTGCAGCCCTGCGTTTGTCAGATGCTATTAAACAGCGGGGATAGAGAATGGAGGAGCTGGTGAATCTGCCACATCCTGCTTGTTCAGAAGATTATTGATGCTGCATAATTCATCAAAGCATGACCTAGCAGTAGGTTCTGCTGCCAGAGGTGTCCAGTAACCGCTTCTGTTGCAGCTGCCCATAAAGTGATGCTCCTTGTTTATGAAAATAGCCTCTGTCTTTGTGTCTGCCCATGAGCCTTTCAATTAATACACCTAAAACGGTCAGTCTTGCCTTGGACTCAGATAATCCATTAAAGTCTTGTTCCATGAGAAATGCTACCATTTTGGCATTTCTTTGTGTTTTGGAACGGGATTGAAATAGGGAAATATTGACATTTTCTGTGCACCAGAAATCCCAGGAAGTTTCAATTAGGAAATACTCTAGTGGTTTTTTTCTGTTATTATTTATACAGTGATTTTTTTTTTTTTTTACATTCCAACAGTTGAAATATTTTCATTTATTAACAATGAACAAAATATGGTGATCTGTAATGTTCAGTTCAGAATTATTTTATTGCTTCCTGATAGCAATTATTTCCTGATAATGATGTACTGCTCGACGGAGTTGCAGTTCAGAAGCCTGGCTCATTTACTCTGACCTTCTCCCATTGCTTGATTTACATCTCCTGTAGTGCGTCATGCAATTTGGTCAGAATGAAATGTGAAATCTTACTGCCTGATGTAGTGATAAAGGAATCTAGTCTGTATGGTGTAAGAGAGGTTCAGGCATTTGTTCCCATGAAGTGGGAAAATTTAAGTTCGTGTTCCAGTGTTCAGATTCTCAATGAAATATTGAGGGCCAGCTAAAAAAATATTTACGTCAAGTATTTATAGGTTGAATACTTCCTCTGAGTTTTCTGGATAGAAGATTGAAAATATAGGTGGCTAGAAAATTGAAAATATCTGCCACAGTTAGGAAATGCACTTCCCCATGCACAAACTGGGGCCAGGATCCAGTCTGCCTAAAATCTCTTTGCCATCGACTCCATCCTAGCTCACATACTTACCAGGTCTGCCTAACCCTGTAGGTAACTCTTCATTAAATAACTCCTGGTGAGTCTGAGAGGTCATTAAGTCCATATCTTGATTCACCAACACAGGGTTAGCAGAGACATTTCAGGGAGACAGATACTTATCTCCTTCCTAAGCTCTGCTATGGGCTGATTTTAAGCAGTCAGTGGATTTCCAGCCAAGTCCACTGGAAGAGCCTGGAAAATCAGATGTCATCAAGACTGCTGAAGGTGGTGACTTCTCCTGAAATAAAAAAGTTTGTTGGAGCACTGCCCCGAGAAGGGACAGGTCTTCGTGCAGGGCAGCTCCAGGGGGAATGCAGCCTGGGCCTCTCATAGTGTAAAAGAGGGACCAGACCACCAGGTCATGGCCAGATAACCCAATAACCATGCTGGAGCCAGGTGTGCAGGAGTCCTGGGGCCAAAAAGCAGATGCAACTTCTGCAACCTAGGGTTATTCAGGTGGCATGGGAGAAAGCTCTGCTCATTTCTTCTACAGACATTTTCCCTCTTGTGTGGTTTAATGTAAAATACATACCCCAGGGAGAAGGAGTTGTAGCTCCAGTTCCCCATACCTCCAGATGAGCCTAGCTGCTTCCCAGCTGCTACGGTTGCTGACCTGAAGTTACACCCGCTTGTGCCTGCTTTGGGCCAGGAGCCCTGCCTTCCGGCCAGCTGCAGCAAGGATGGTGTTACCCCGTACCCCAGTCTTTATAGCACCTCTCAGGGGTGGTGGCTGCCCCCCACCCTCCACCCCAAGGAAGCAGAGCACTTAACCCATTGCCTCCCGCTTCACCCATGGGTGTTTTTGCCACTAGGGTGCCACTGTTGTCATGGCCATCCTGCTAGGCACCTCTGGCCAGGGGAGGGCTGGGCAGCTCTGGATGCCAAGAGGGTTGTCCTCTGCAGGCACCATTGTTCCCTACAGAGTGAGGGGCAAGGAAAGGAATTAGGAAGGCAAGATCATCCTCCACAGGTTTTTCAGAGGCAGCAGCCTCTCTCCATGCACTCAGCAGGGGATGTAGGCAACTGGGCTAGACAGACAGGTACCTGTCCTGTCTGTCCCCAAAACAAGGCAGCTTGAATTTCAGTGAAGTCATGCCGAAATGAGGCAGCTGGCACAGACAGACTGACAGCACCCACTGCTTTCTGTCAGATTGTCTTTGTGATGAAAAAGTCCTGGTTTCTGGGCAGGGAAAGGAGAGGAAGAAGAACCACAGGGCAAGACTGCCATTCTGCTTTGCAGGACTTTCTTTTTTCTCCACTCAACAATACTGCATCAGCAGCAAAATAAAAATAATATGTCGAGAAGGACCCATCCGAAGCTCAATCATAATATATCAGGCCACCTTCAGCTCACAGCTTTAGGACATCAAGTGTGACAGCCCCGCAGCATTTGGGCTGACTGTTGCTTTAACATCTCATGGGTGGTTAATGCTACCTAACAGGAGTAAAAAGTTTAGAATTGTAAAATACTCTTTCAATCCTGGTAGTAATTACCTCTTAGCAATGTTAGTGCTTTGCCAACTCAAAGAGAACTAATCCCCTTCTGTCATAGGAAAGAAAAAAATGTAATAGCTGAGAGAGCTGTGGAGCTTATTTTCAAATAGATGCCTCAGCATTTTGATATTTTCTGTGGGATTAACTAGTAACAGAGGAAGGCTAATACATATGCAGAGCTTTCATTTGCTTCTGTGACAATTTGCCGGGGGCAAATTCAACTGTGTCATGAGAAATGGTGTCATTTTCCCCCCTTCCTTGTCAGTTGAAGCAAAAAGCCTTGATAGTAACATAGAAACTGGTTGCAACTTATCGTCATTTCAGGGGAAGTTTCTCTTAGCTCCTTGCCTCATATTTCTGCTTTTCTTATGTTTCTCTTTTTCTTACCAAAACAGAAAGGGCTGCCATTTTGTAAGCACAGAAGCCCCATAATGAAAGGTGTAAAAGTGTTGCAGTAAAAGCATCTTTGCTAACATAAAATAGATACTGAAGCTCTTTCTGTACTGATTCGTTACACTTTTCCCCCTTCAGCATAGTTGCTTCTAGCTCAAAAAAAGATTATTTGCTCTGCTGTACGTATAACCCTAGCTCCTAACGATGGCTTTGTGCCGTGCTTTGGTGGTCTTCTGAGGCTGGCTCTGTGGGCATCTGGTGCTGATGGGCACAGGCAGCGATGGCTGCAGAATACTAATGCTGGGACTGGCTCCCACAAGGCTCCACTTTTGAAAAATGCTTTAGCCATTCAGTGTTCATGCGCCATGCTGAGCAACAGGAGGGCAGAAAAGCCATGCTCAGGGATTTTTTTTTTTTCAATGCAGAGCAAGAAGCTGACAGGAATGATGGCTCTTTGCTTCACACTGTTGTGTCCAGGCTTCTTTCAGAGCAGCGGTCATTTATATGCATAAATATCAAGCCTGTCACTTGTTGCAGGCTTTGATAGCATTTGTGTAACAAAGGAAACAGAGGGAGAAAAGAGCTGAACATCTTCTATTCCAGTCTTAGAAAATGAATGACTGCGTAGCTATGGTGATTACTTTCTCTCTGGTTTTGTTAGATCACTGTCCTCTGAAATTTGTTTTCCTTCCTGTCCTGCTGTCCCATCTAAAGGACCATGAGAGGACCTCTCCCCACGCCCCCTTTGTCTTTCCCCCACACTGCGACTACCCACAGGGGATATCTCAAAGAGTTGCCTACCAGTAACAATTGCCACAGCAAAGCCTCTTGCCATATACTGACACAGATATTATTTTTTTTCGCTTCCATTTTTTTCTTCCGTTAGCCATCTGACAAAGTCACTCCGCATCACCCATTTCATGCAGAGATACGAGAACTCCACTGTAATTGTATTTTTGATTATTTACTTGATTTTTCTATATCTCCCCTAGGCAAAATGCATGCTTGCTATTTGCTCTGCATACCATGTCTTTCTGCAGCTTCTAAATTGAGGCTGATCGTATGTTTACCGGTCATCTCTGGAAAGCTATGCAGTTGCATCTAGCTTTTCTCTGGGTCTTGTGGCTATTCTGTATTGAAAGACAACTAAAATACACTACTTGTATAATACTGCTTTTCCATTAAAGCAATTGCTGAAGTATCACAGGAATGTTATTCTGATGCCAGGAGGGAGGAGGGAGAGGTTCGTGCTGATTGCCAATAGGAGGGGAAACAGCCTGTGAGACAATCCCCCTTTTAAATGTGATCTGAGCAATGAAAAGCTTGGGAAGCCTTTCTAAGGCTTCTCACATTTAGGCTTTGTGCCCAGGCTCAGGGTCTCGGACATGGAGGTGGTTTCAGAACACCGCATAGGGGGAACCATTTCAGCAAAAATATCCAGATTACCTGGATAATTTATTAAACTGTCTTGGATCTTCATTCACATGCATCTTTATTGGCATGCAACTCCGGCAGAACAGAAGTGACGATTTCTCCCCTGCCCTCCAACCAGCCGTTGCTCTGCTTCTGAGCTATCAAAGAGGTTTCAGGGACAACAACAGATAGAGCCCCTGTGAACATTCCCAAGGCTACCTAGAGGTTTCTTTTTTCCCCTGAGTAAGTGTAATTTTTTGTGCTTCCCACTTTTACCAGTCTTCCCTAATCTTATAAAAACCTTGAAGCAGTAGTATTATAGTCTTGATGGTCTGAAGATATAAACAGTGCAGGATTTGTAGGGACAAGTAATATCTTTTCCTGAAGAAGGACTTGTGTGCCTGAAGGCTTGTCTGGTTTTTTTCCCAACTGTATCAGTTGGTCTAATAAAAGATATTACCTCTCCCTACAAACTTTGCCTTACTTACTAAAACAGTTGCCTCTAGGACACAGAACACTCTTAACTGGATGGAAAACTCCAACGTCAAGGTGATAGAGTGGAGTTCAGTGGTGTGATTTCCATGCCCTGAGCCAATTGGCACAAATTAAAACAAGGTGGGATGAACAGTGTCCACACTGATCATTCTGCACATCATTAGTGTCCCTTTCACCCCCACTCTACGTCAGTATTTTTTTCTGTCCTACCTCTCAGCTGTATGGGGTAGCTCCTTTCTAACACAGAAATGCACATTGGGTAACATCCTTTGAATGCTACCTCAGCAGAAACAGCAACTCTTACGGTATGCTTGATGAAACTTCTCTGTCTTCTGATTATTTTCTTGGTTGCTGTATCTATGTACATTATTTTTTGTTTACTGCAGGTGAGCTTGAGAGAGATGGAAAAAAAGCCCAGTGTGACTGAGTAGACTGTTTCTTGTTTAAGGATCACCTAAATGTTGACAACTTGGTTACAAATCTTAAAGGATATTTTTCTTTTTATACTCTCAGGTGAACTTTCTGTGGAAGGCATACAAGACCCATTCCTTGTTAGTGTACATATTATCACAGATCCAGGTGAATCCAAGGCTCTTCAGCAAGCCATCGATAAGCTTCTAGCCTGGATCCATCCAGACCTCCAGCTGTTTCGAGTCTCAGAAAGACGAGTGCCCAAGAAGCGCAGGAAACCAGGGAAAGCTGGTGTTTCTCAGCCAGCCCTTGCCATCATTCTGTTTCTGCAGGAAGAATATGGAGAAGAACCTATCTTGCAGCTCCACGAAACCTTTCAGCGGCCACCTTGGCATTACCACCACACAGAGCGAGTGCATGGGAAGTTCCTCCCTTACATGCCATGCAGCCAGGACTTTTACACTTTGGCTCCAGAGACTCCTCTGTGGGCCATTCGCCCAGTGCACTACGGGAAAGAAATTATCCGCTTCACTATATACTGCAGGAGTGAAAACTTTGTCGACATTTTGAAATTGTATGAGTTAATACTGAAAAGACCAGTATGTCAGAAAAAAGCAGACTTTTGTGTTTTTCCTGTCTATTCAAACATGGAAATAGACATTCAGTTTTCTTTAAAAAAACTTCCGAAGGGCCAGGTGCCAATGCCGACAGAGTCAGCAGTGCTGGAGTTCAGAGTAAAAGATGTGGGGCAGCTTGTGCCTCTCTTGCCCAACCCTTGCAGCCCCATCAGTGAAGGCAGGTGGCAGACCGAAGACCATGATGGAAATAGGATCCTTTTGCAGGTAAGTTCAGTACACAGGGAAACACAAGCACATTTATTGGTTTTGTGCAGGAAAGCTTAACCTGCAATGGTAGCCAGAAAAGGAGGCTTTTTTTTTCTTGCTCTATCCTGGGAGAAAGAGCCAGGACAGTACCGCTAAAGAAAGAACTTGAAACCCCTTGCTGTGTGTGTAACTAATCAAGAAAGCAGTGGATGATACTATCCAGATATCAGTCAACCTCAGTTTATGCAAAGAGTGATGTGAGATGAGGTAGCTGTTTAAAAGAATGAGGAGAGAAGGAATTACGAGCCCAAGTGGAGAAATGATGGCTGATGGGTGTAGTTTTATAAGAAATATGGGCACAGAACTGACAGGGGTTTATAAAATAGCTCTCAGTTATGAGATTTTTGTGGAAGACAAGCAGAATTCCTGATGGTACTCATTATTTTCTAGCATCACAGTGTGACAAACTGCATCTCTCTTTTGCACAGTGATTATGAGGATGGGGAGAGAGGTGGTGAAGGAAAAGAAATACACCCTGAAGAGCAGCCTAAGAGAGACATTCCCACAGACTGTCTTTTTGAACTAATCTCAAGTGCTCGTAACCAAGTCCTGAAAGAGAGTTTATTTGTTAGGACATCTGTAGGCACCGTATCTGGGCAGCGTATCAGCATGCTCTGCTTCACTACACCACATCCGAGGGAGATAAAGGGGATAACAAGCAGTGAGCTTTTAATAGCTGCCTGCCCTGCAGAGGGGGTATCTGTGGCAATCCAGAGCCAGGTTAACATGAATTCCTGCACTGCAGAGGTATTTATTGCTGCTTAGCATTCAAATCAAGGAGCACAGACCCTCACCTTTGGAATACTGTTGTTCAGATTTCAAAGAAGGGTATTTTTTTAGAGTGAATTGCATTCATGAAACTTGTCAAATTGTCCAACCTTGTTTCTGTGGAAGAGGCGTTATGGGTGCCATCCTTTCACTGTACGGACCTCCCAGCATGCAGAGAGGTGTGTATACCCCCCTGCAGCACAGTGCCTCTGGGTTTGTAGCTCCTGGGACTGAAAATCCAGGTACATGGGGCATCTGTGCTCTGGTGAGTCACATCCAGGTGGTGGTGAAACCTTTCAATGTGGCTTTGCAGATGCCGCCCACAGAGACACCCCATGCCAGAGCTGAACAGCACACATGTAGGGCTCAGAAGGCAATTCAGTTTCCCTGCCTGTCTGCCAAGATGGTCACCAATTTGTCAGGGTTACTGCTTGCACTGTAGGGATATCTGTGTTAGCCTGAGATAACTTGTAAACTCAGGCTTAAAAGAGCCATCATGAAAGTTTTGCACAGCAACCACACTCACTTATGTCCCCTTTTCCCTGTTGTTGTTCAGGAGGTTTCTGCTATGTGATATAACTTTGATTTATGAGATCTTGCACTGGTTTCAAGTAAATTGAAGGGAAGGGTAAAAAAAAACAATCGGGTTTCTAAATAAGGTTTTCAATTTCAAAACAGCAAATTTTCAGAAATAACAGGTGCCAGGCAGTACAGAGGTAAAGCAAGACT